GTCGAGACACAAGATTGACTCAATGAGAAAAGGCGAGCGTACCTTTTTAATTTTCTTTGCTTGCCTGTTAATGTAACTTAGGTAATCAACATTAGCCTTTTTTATATTAATAAAAAAGTGGAAAGCTTGATAAACAGTAAAATTATCGACTTCAAATCATCGGTTGTATTTACGGGGTTTGATTTGAAATGACAAAAAGCTGAAAATATTGATTTGTTTACGTTAGGGTGATTCAACAGTAAAAAATCCGAATAGATATTGTCCAAGCATTGGTAAATAAAAATATACATAATTTTTATTTTCATTCTTAATGCTCCACTAAATTTTACATTTATTTAAATAGTCAAATAAATTTTATTTTGAGGGTTTTGTTTTTACTCTGTTGGCTAACAGTGAATGACAATATTTGTGCCTATGTTTCTAGAGTGAGAAATAAACTCTCACTGTTAATACATTTGAGAATAAATATATAACATAATCAAACGGCTTTTGTTAATTAAAGTAAAAGACAATCAGCGGCCATCTAATTGAGACAACACACAGAGCTGGATATTTGAAAATAGCCTTCTTATCAGCACTTTCATTTGCTTATAGATGTACTTTTAAACTGGCATCAATTTTAATAAAAACATCCCAATGTTTTTAAGCTGTACAGTTTTATAACTTTTCTCATTGTGCATCTCCACTGTCTAGTTTTGTTGAACGTATTATCAAGCTGCCAGAACCAAGTGTTTAGAAGCTGCTTTGCAAGAATTGATCACGGCATTTTTATATGTATGCACTTGTGTGGCTTTAGTTTTCTGTCTCTTTGCAAACACCTTTTGTATTGGGCAATGTGAAATCCAGGATACAGAGCAAATCTTGTATCCTGTTAGTCCTTCCCAGCTTTGTTTAGTATTCAGGCAGCAGATGCTGTTGTAATCTGGATTCTGAGACAGGTTTTAGGGGTTTTTGTTTGCTCTTATGGCCCTGATAATCTTGTTACACTGCTGTCAAGTGGAGATGGCTCTCCCTGCAGCCCTGAACCACCATGCGTGCCACCTCCAGTCCCCAGAAATATAACCTCCGCCCAGCCCCCACGAGCCTGCCGCCATTTTGAGACAGTTGTTCATAGAAGGGCCTTGGATGTATCCTTGAAGAATCACCTCCTGAGTATCTCTATTCTGCTTCCAAACCCCTTGTACATCCCACCTCCATCCCCCTCCCATTTCAGGCTGTAAACGACAGTGATAAATATTCACCATCGGGACAAAGTGGACGGGAGCCCTGGCTCCGGATCCCCATCAACAAAAAGTCCCCCAGCTAATGGTGTTCATCCTTGGCATCCCCCAGGAGAAATCCTGTGACGAGATCTTTAAGGCAGGCTGCTGGCTTACTGCCAAATCTATCATGTTACATCAGCCTTTATAAGAGCAGATTTATTTATTTATTTTTTATTATCATTCTTGAATATGAACCTGAGCTTACCTTTGGAGATTTGGATGAAGAGATACTGATTTGATGATCGGCTGGCCTGCTCTTATTGTGTTGGCTCAACTTCACAACTTCTAATTGGCACCTTGGTTTTGGTCCTTGCTGAGATCAGTATTTTTTTTTCACTCAACCTACTCTACTCAGGCACCTCTAAATGTGCCGACCACGCATTTCACACAAGGCTTTTTCGTCTCTCTTTCTTTTCATCTCGTCCTCTTTTTCTCTCTCTCTCTCTCTGTCTGTCTCTCACCATTCCTTTTCTGTGGGTGACCACACTCAGCATTTTCCTATTTCCTGTGGGTGTGATGTCTCTCCTCCTCAAGCAATCAGCCCTGATTTGTCAGCGTTCTTCCAGGCGATTCATAAAAATTCAGCAAGCATCCACAAAAGACGTCTGCGTCCCCACCTGCAATGCCCCCTGCGCTCCGAGCTGCAGATCTCACCTACTGCTCCGATGGCTAGATGCTCACTAAAGGCCTGGAATTTTTAATGTGAGGCAATATGCTGCAGGACTTTTTGTTTTTGTTTGAATTATTGAACTTAAAGCCATCCTGTCGCTATCAAATAACTCACTGAAGCACCTCTGACATCCCCTTGTCATTTCTGCAGAAAATTGTAGGTGTGTTTTCCTCTCCCTGGCTTCTCTATTTGTGTGGATACCTCTTTGTCTCTGTGAGGTATGACATGCCCGGCAGTGGAAGGGAGCAGCTGTGCATTGGACCTTGTCTGTGTTGTTCTGCCATGCCCTGTCATAGCTAGCCGTCTGTTGGCAGCAGTCTGTGCTGGAGGCTTGCAGCCTGGACACAATCTTTCCTTGGTGTCATATGGTGAGCTTTCAGAATGCCAAGCCATGCCTTCGCACAGCTGTGTGACAGAACGTGTGTCTGTAATAGGCACAGTAGCATGATATTCCCACTTTATAACCATGGGTAAGAAAATAAATAAAACACAATATATTATGTTGTTTACATCAAAATAAAAAAAGTAACTCAGAAAATGATATTTACTCCTGCTAAAAACGCAGATTTATTATCACTGTTATAATAGTGTTTATTAGAATATCTTATCAGGCAGATGGAGTTACCTTGCACTTTCTGTCACTGCAAACTTGTAATGTTTACAGTGACAAACCATTTTTAAAATTATTTTTCATACTTGTAATTTATATACAATATGATTTACATGTGAAAAAATATTAACAAAATTGCTACATTTTGTGTGTATCACTAAATTAACTTTTCTCTACTAACTGTGGAATTATTTGTGCTATCTTCTTAGTATGCTGCTTCATGGAGTTGTTTCTTATTCATTACCTTATATGATCCATTTCGTTATTTTTTTTAAGATTCAAAAGATGAGGAAAATAAATGTAATACACAGAGCCCTACTTGTCAACTGTTGATTTAAATAGTGTAGCTTTATGTGGTGGGTGGCGTGCCTTTAGTTTCCTTAAATATTTTGTTAATTCTGACCTAAAATATTTCAAACAACCAAATTCCTCTTTATTATAAGGGGAAGGAAACTCTTCTTTAAGTCATCCGACTCGCTTTGAGCAGCCACAGGTAGGGGAGGGGCTGTACTGTGTGGCACTGTGATTCATAAGGCAGAAGAAAGTCCTCTTCATTCAGTCACTTTCTCAAACATCTCATTAGAGCGGAAAATCTTAATACGGTAGTTTTTAAACCTAGCTACCAGACATTGCTAGCAACCATTTTTTACTTGATTTTTCTTTTTAAGTACCTTGCATTTCATTCTTAAACATGTAAAAGAACTCCTACAATTTTTAGTTTATAAATGCATCAGCCTATATTGTGTATTTTTCTGCCCTGTCTTCAGTTTATTAAAAATAAGAAAAATGGCAGGGACATATGTTAAGATGCATAATGATAATTATGATAATCTTATCCTTGGAACATAATAGTCACTGTATTAAAATGAGAAGAAAAGAAATTTATCAAAGTTTTATTCATCACAAAAAAAGGAGGAAATTAGTATTGGTTGTGAAAAGCCTGATCAGTGCAGCCGTAGCTCTTTCTCTTTTTTCTCGCTCTTGTCCCAACAGCTATTAGCCTCATGCTTTCCTGTCTGTTTGTCCATTATCTGTGCATCATCAGACAGACCATTATCCCATTATGCTTTGCATCTGTAGTCCAAATGCTTACTGGAAATGAGTCACTGCAAAGGCCTGTAAAAAGTAGGTGTTACTATCAGATGACTATTCATAGCCAGCCCATCAGGGATGAAAACACCACATTTAAAAAGTCGACCGAAGGCGGGGTAGGATGCAACCACTTTACCGTGGAACACTGCTGTTTTCAAGAGGACTTTATCTTTAGAGTGAAAAGCATCAAAAAATTCCAGTCACAATCTGGCCCCATGTTATGTCCCCAGCCTGTGCAGTCGTGTCGTATTCAGGTCATTTTTAACAAGAGTCTGTCTCTCCCTGTTTGGCTCAGGTGACCGGTCCACCTGTAGCTCCCCTGTTGTTGCCATGGTAATCTTCTGGCCTTCTTATAGTCCACTTCAGAGCTGCGACTCGTCTGTTTTTTCCTCGTCTTACCTCACTGAGCTTTCTCCACACATCATACGTGACTGGCTTAATGTGCTTGGAGGCCAAACACTCACTTGCGTGCACACACCATCACACACAGTAGCTGTAGCTCTTTGTATTTTATTTGGTGTGATGCTGTCTGAAAAAACAGAAAAAAAAAAGAAATCCAGCATGTGTTTGTTTATGTAGTAACACGGCTGGCTGTGTAAATCAGCTTACAGAGGCAGTGTGCTGGGTGGGCGGACTGTGGTGGGTGTTGCTGACACAGCATTTATTGCATGCAGAGCAAAACTCACAGTCACAACTCTGTGTGTGTGTGCGTTTTTATGTCTTATCTTATGATGGAGCTCACCCGACAGACAGCATTCGACCTTCTGTCTTTACACCCCTTGGTTACATTTCTCACTCACAAAGCTTCCCTCTGGGTGTTCCCTCTGTACTGACACAACAAAAATTAAACTGCATTGCAGCCTGGTTATTCTGGGCTCTGCACTAGTTACGTCCCCTTTATTGATTTGTAGGATTATAGCCGAGCTGATTCCAAGACAGGTGCGACTGTCTAGACTGGGTAGCTCGCTGCCCTGTGTACCTGAGAGGAGGAACTCTGTTTTCCTAGATATTGCGAAGTGCTGCTTGCCAGTTTAACGGCATCTTAAGTCCAACTCCCAGTAGTTCTTGTTAAAGACAAGAAGGTTTATGTACCTTCCTCTGAATTGCATGTCCTGTTTAAAATCAACCTGATTTACGTTTGAGGCAGACATGGCGTCAAATTATTTGTTTGTTCTGACAGATGCATAAAGAGTTCTCATTCGACACTCTTGGTATCACTGAGAAGGATGTCTGAAGTCCTTGACCTACTTTATATTTTTGGGTCAAAGTCAGGCTGAAGCCCATTTGCCAGAAATATAATATTCTGCACTGAAATTAATTTGTTCTTTTGACAGCAATATTTTTTTATGATTATGACTTTTCACAGAACAACCAGCAGTACAGGTGGAGGCTTCTCTTGTGGCATGAATACCATAAACAAAGGAAACAAGGCCTTAAAGGTAAAAAAAGAAAACGTGTGATGAAAATGTTTTATTAGGATTGTTCCTAATTTGTGATTTTCTTTTGTGGTGTTGAAAAAAAAAAAAAAAAATATAATATATATATATATATATATATATAATATATATATATATATATATATATATATAATTATTATTTCAAAATGTAGTGCTTTTTAACTAAGTTGAGTAATTTGTGTCCTTTTTGCATTTTTGCAGACACATTCAAAATGTACTTTTCAATAAACCATCATTGTTTCATTCCAAGATGTTTAAAATCAATGCTTCATTTTCCACTAAAAAATGATAATTTTTTAATATGTACTAGAAGCCCATCAATTTTTATAAATAAGGCACAAATACAATAAAATTATCAGTCAAGGTTGCTATCAATTTTTGAAATGACCAGTTTTGGATTATACTTTCCTAACTACTGTTTGCATTTCTGGGATGGGGGAAGAATCTAATAGCTTCTCTTATTTTCTCTAAAGTGAGTATTTCAAAGGAGGGCTGAACCTGGATAAGGGCTGAAATAAAAAAAAAAAGCTATATATTTCTCATGTGTAATGAAGACTGAATTAAATAATTGAATACTTTTTTGCAAAAATATGTTGATACATGCTCACTGTAAAAAATTTCTGTCAAACTTTAAAATAGTATTTTTTTGTGTCCAACGGACACAGGTGGAGCACAAATGAAGGGACTCCCAAGGGTTACAAGTATAACGTTTCAGTTCTCAGGATGGTGGGTCACATTTTATTGTTCAGTTGCAATGTACTGTTGCCAGAAGATGATAAATTATACGTCACATTGTATATTTTCTGTTTATTATCAAATATGTACTTGGAAATGTTGTGTCCAGCTAAAGATCTGATCATTTATAACAGTCACAATTGCTTATGTGGCCTTTTGGTAAAAATGGAGAAAAATAATTGCCCACCCTCCATGATCTAATATTGTTACGTCGCCCACCCTGAGTTCTTATGATGACTTTATTAAACCAGTTTTGATGTCCAATCATTTCTAATTGCTTTGCCTCTGCAGGTGAAGCGAGAGCCTGGGGAAAATGGTACCAGTCTAACGGACGATGAGCTGGTCACCATGTCGGTGCGTGAACTAAACCAGCATTTACGGGGGCTCTCTAAAGAAGAGATCCTGCAGCTAAAGCAGAGGCGACGCACCCTGAAGAACCGTGGCTATGCTGCAAGCTGCCGGGTGAAGCGGGTCACCCAGAAGGAGGAGCTGGAAAAGCAAAAAGCCCAGCTGCAACAGGAAGTGGACAAGCTGGCAACAGAGAATGCAAGCATGAAGGTGGAGCTGGATGCTCTGCGCTCAAAGTATGAAGCCCTCCAGAGCTTTGCCAGGACTGTGGCGCGCAGCCCCGTCACTACAGGAAGGGGACCCATGGCCTCTGTGATAGGGCCCCTCATCCCTGGTAAAGTAGCTGCCACCAGCGTCATCACCATTGTCAAATCCAAAACGGAGGCCAGGTCGTAGTAGCAGAACTGGCAACGGGATGATTTTCACTTCTGAACTAGTCAGTGCATTTTAACATGGTCCAGGGTCTCCTGTGTTTTTTGTTTTATTTTAACAGTCATAAAATGCTTCCTGGTTCACTCTGAGCAATGCAACTCAGCAGTCATCCATTTCCTTTAATATAAGATGATATTGTTTGTCTTTACTTATCTCTAATTTCTTAATACTGACTCAATCAAATCTAACAATTCAATGCCCTCTTGCTTGTTATTCTGCACTGACTTGAATAAGGATCAATAATGAGAGGTCACTTTCTTGGTCTTAATGCTACAGAAGTCTTCAAAACAACTAACCCAAAACTAGCAATTTAAGTCCAACTTGTGATATTTCAGTTTGTTTTGTTTTGGTGTTAGGTGTCTCTCAGTGATGTAGGCATAAAACAATGCTGACAAACCTAGCGTTCGTTTCCGTTTATGCATCCGTGAAAGGCTTCAGTAAACTTGTCATTATCGACATGACTGGTAGATGCAATAATATATGTATGCACTGAAAACACACATGGAAAAAAAAGAGATCTTGCATATTTATCTTAGCGATATCGTTCCAGAGCTGAGTGCCATTCCAGTATGATAAGATTCTGCTACAATATCCGAAAACCTGAATGTTGATACAGTGATACTCTCACAATTTGTGAGGACACTCATTTTGCTCATAGAGAAAATACGTCATTTTCTTTTAAAAATATCTCTCTCTATATATATATATATAATTTTTTTTTGTAATTACTTCTTAACATGTCCGTCAGATATTTCCAAAAGAACGACTTTACACAAGCTTTACTGTTTGAATTGTTAAAGTGTAGAAAACTTTGTCTATCATTGAGTTCTTGGTTTTTATTACTTGGTAGATCAAACTCCATTGTTTATAGAAATACAGAAAAAGAAAACTCATAAAAAAAAATCCTGTGACATCTCTTTTGCAATTGTACCGAAAGTGGCTTATTATTGAAGTCTGATAGCTTTTTTCTAGTGACTAGGCGCGTACAGTGGGATAGCGCGTAATGTGACGTATAAGTGGCAAGTTGGCGGTGTTGTTCACTGTATAGATGTCAACGCTGTGCTAAAAAAAAAAAAATCAAACTAATCTGTAGAGCTAAACTAGGTGGTGTGAACAAGGTCAGTTGTCTGTGTACGTATTGGCATCTGTGATATCTTCTGCTTTCTCGGTGTTAGTTACCAATCATATTGTCATCAAGCGTTTACGTCAGCGAGCAGTGTAAGGCAGATATCAATGAAATAGTCTGTGAATTTAAATTAAGCTTAAACTAAACATATGCTGCACCTGATGTTGGATACCTTCAAAATATATCATCTGTGACCTGAAAATAAAGAACTTTATTGTTGGGAAGATCTCATTAGTTTTCCAGCCACTTGCTAACTACAGTTCTTTTCAGAAGTTTACATACACTCATTGACATGAAGGACATTAATTGGAGTCTTTTAATGCATATTTTTCCATATTATTATTATTGATAATTTTCCTTCCTCTGGGGTAAACTCACAATATAATATATAACTTTTATATTTTTTAATACTAAAAATTGAATGGACAAATTTGTGTGCACCCCAAATACTACTTAATTAGATTTTCCTAAGCAAGGTACCGATAAACCAAATATTTTTTGTAGCTACCAGCAGCATTCTGTCTGAATATTTTACAACTGTCTTTTGTAGAAATTATTGCGTTAATCTAAATTGCTTTGATTTCTTTCCTCAGCTTATCTTCTTGGACTCATTATTGTGGCCAAATAGCTCAATCTTTAAATTTCAGTCCACAGTGATGTTAGACTTGTTCCACTGTGAACGGTAACACTGCTGCAGTCCTAGCGTCTTTCACTTCATCATCAGCTTTAGTCTTAGTTGTTTCTTTGTTGTTTCTAGACATCTGAACAAATTTTTCTGTAATCTGTGGGTAATAATTTGGGTAAAATAGTTTAAACATTTTCACAGTTTTGTGTTCCAACAGAACAATTAAACAAAACACACATTTTGCCTGTGTGTAGATTTAAATATCTACAATAAATTTAAACTTTAGGCCCTGACTTGGATTTTTTGTTGCATATTTACCTTGGATAAAATGCACAATTGAAAGCTCAAAATTTATGTGCCGTTCTTGCTCTTGCATATGTATAACTTCAACTGTAGATGGCAGAAATACATGCGTTATATTTAAAATATGCAGTTTCCTAAGCCTATATCTGGATAATCCACCAAATAAAGAGGCAGATCTTCCATAAATTGGCCCCTGGGTCTTTAGATTGAAGGTGACATGGTTCGACTGAGGGTTTGTATGTATGCACTAAGCTCCTGCTTGTTTTGCTCAGGACAAAACAGGCCACTAAAAATAAAACAAACAGTTCTCAATAAGAAGCAAAGTGGCAACAAGGATGGCAGCTCTGTTTTCTCTCCTTTTTATTTATTTATTTTTTATTTATTTATTTTTTATTTAGTTTACTTGTCATAAAGGGCTTCAATGCACACGTAGAAAGAGACGGCATGAACATGTAGTTACAATCAAGAGCAGCTGCCAGCAGTGCTTCCCTCATGCCGAGCGTCACACCGCCTGGTTGTGTAGAAGGAGAACCGGCGCAGAAGCAGCTGCACACCTCAAGGTGAACGCAGTTGTTCAACGTCATTAACAGAACACACTTCATCCAGGGATCGCCCTCATTGAGGTGTTAATCTACAGTCACTCGCAAAACAAACATCTCAGCAAAACTTCACGCCTGAGATCTGGGTGCTGGTTACACCGTCTACGTGCACATTGTCCTATCCTCTCTCTGTCAACATGCTTCGCTATCTGCGGTGACGGGTTAACTGTGGGAAAATATATTTGTGACTCTTGACATAGCCCAGTATCGATGTTGGCGTCCTTATTACCGTGGCCGTCTTGTGGAGTTGATCTTTTTTCGTGTCAAGTGTCTTTAAAAGGTGTTCAAGTGGCACTGTCAAGCAATCTTTGAATCTCCTCTCGAAGGCGACGACTCTTTATCACACATACTGGTGTATAGTATGTAGCTGCAGTAGGTACTGATGATCGTTGTAAAAAAGTGACCCTTAATATGCAACTCAGTGGAAAGATGTGGGAGAGATGTGTAAGGTTAAATTAATATCGTCAGAGTTGTTAGTCTGTTGTTTAAATGTTCTTGCTGCTTTGTTTTGAGATGCATATGTTTTTGTAAAATGTGTGTTGTTTTTCTGAAGTTTTGAATCCTAAGTGTAAAAGCATTTGGCCCCTTTTTTTGACATAAAGGATTCCAGGGTTTCTGCGCTGTCTTGAAACAAACTTTTATCATTTTCCAGATTTGCCAAATATGGGGGGAAAAAAACTTATATTTTTGAATAAAATTCTCAATTAGTTCACTTAGACTGAACTTGCGCCCTTTGTGTTTAATTTTCCACATTACAATTTTTATCAAAGTTTTAGAGTGATTGTGTGAGAAAATCCTCTGGAAAACCACTCGTCCTCTTTCCCAAAATTCTAATGATATTAATAAAATCTGTTTACATCTCCAACAAATTGAATAAAGATGTAAAAATGTCCAAACGCATTAATGAAGTTGTGTTTATTAAAGGACAACTCTGTCCAAATTTGTCAACTCTGTCTCTTTAATTACCCATTATGATCAATTGAAGAGATGGTTTTAATTTCCTCCTTCTCTCTCTGCTTGTTGGTCCTTTTCAATTTTTTCTTTGACTTGTGATCAATTATTGAACTTGACATACTGACAATATACTTGTTTTAGGAACCTTATCGGTTTGCCACCAATAAGCATCTTGTGTTAACCTTATGTTTAACACAAGATGCTAAACTTAAGGTGTCGTCGCCCGAGTCTGCTGACATTTTTTTCCAATGAGAAATCTGCCACCCCATACCATCACATGTCCTCCCTCAGAAGCTGTTAGCATTGGCAGTGAGGACTTGGCAGGTTTGTCATGAACACAACTCAAAACTAAACTCTGCTGCTCAATTTCTTTTTCTTACAAATTTGGCATCATTTCAGGAAGACAAAACTGAACCAAGTTTTTGTTTTCTTCTTTTTCTTTTTGCAAGAAATTCAAACTTAAAAACCGAGTGGTAGCCCTGGAATCCGTAAAATATCCATCCTTATTCAGATTCCGAATTTCTAAATTCAACGTTAACTGGTTTAGACATCATTGAATTACAAATGTTTGTGATGTGGTTGCAACTATAGACTCTGTCCCAGGGGCCTAATGCAAAATCTGTTTTTATGTTTATTGTTTTAATTGATATATATTTGTTTGTATGTGTGTTTGCGTGCACGCGCACATGCGTGCGCATGTGTGAGTCCTCCTCTGCTGCTACACCAGTCATTTATGCTCCTTATTTTCTGTTGCATCCTCCACGGCATTTTCTGTCCTCATTATGTGGCGTTTTTTCTAATTGATCTCAACACTGTAATTTCTTCCGCAGATGTAATGTTATAATTGATCATTGCTTGTTTTTCTTTGTAAGCAACATATGGAGAGGATAATAACAGCACTTGTGTGGCCGTTGAATTTATTAGCTCTCAAGACGTTGGGATTTTTTTTAAAAAGTGGAGTTTGTTAAAGGTTGACTGTGCAGGGTTATATTTGTTTCTCTCTTGCTCTGTGGAGTGGGTTTGTGTTTCAAACAGAATATAAGTGAGTAATACAAAATTAATATTCTGTTGTTATTTTTCTGTATGGGTTGTAATAAAATATTGCAGTACTTTGTATGAAAACAGACAATAGTTAATTGTAACTATTTATAAATTAAATTATTGTACTTTTTTGCAATCTGTAGATAAGCACTATGTATTCCTATACAGTATCAGCTGTGGATTTAAATGTGATTCTCCGAGGTGTCTAAGTTATTGATGTATATATTGTATGTTTGTTGATACAGCTTTCTTTATTTTCTATAAGACCAATAAAATGTTTTGGAAAAGGACTTTATGCGTTGCTGTCATTTGCAGTTCTTAAAATTGGGTTTTGCATTATTCTGTGGCGTCATTGACCCAGTTTGATACTTGTAAAAATAAACTGACTGGGAAGGCTTTTGCCGTCCAGGGTGGGTTTCAGAAGACAGCGATCATTTAGATGGCACATTTTTTTTTATTTTTTCCTTTTTTTTTTGCACAATCCAAAAAAAGCTGCTGGGCGACCCACTTTGACTAACCTCAGCGGACGTATTTTTGGCCCGACACGAGTAAAACATTAGAGTCATGAAGGATGTCTAGGTGTGCTTGGCCTAGATTAGGAGGAGTTGTGAGTTAGTCATCTTAGCTCCCTGTGGAGCTCCTGAACCAACCCCCCTCATCAAACATCAGGCTCCTCAGCAGCGTTTCAACCAAAACACATCTCATGAGAGAAGCTGCTCAGACAAAGAGACAGATGGCTTCAGACAGGCTACATCTTACTGCTTCATCCTTGAGGGCAACTCCAAACCCCAGCTGCTTCGGCGTGATTTTAAAGCAATATTGTTCTTCACTTCTCCTAAATGCTCCAACAGGTCTGTGTGACCTGTGCCTTAAAACAAGCTCTGCCTCTCTCCTTGGACGGCTGCCCCAGACGAGCACACGGCCTCTGAAGAGTTGATTAATTTGGCGGGTTGGGTTAAGGTGAGATGGTGGGCTATGTAGGACAGCATTCTTCATCTTCACCCACTTCTGCAGCAGGTGCCTGCCCCAGTTCTCAGACCACAACCTGCCGTACAATTAATGTTGCCATCTCCGTCAGCAGGGGTAAACTCTCACCACATGTGACCTGCTGAACTTTGACATGCTGCAGATCCCTGCATTGCAGAACACGCCTGTGCATTAAGACATCTAATAAAAAGTTTAACATTTGGATTTGCGTTTCAGACAGCTTCAACAATTATTTAAGTTATTTAAATATTAAGATGTTATTGATTTTAAGTATTATAATTTGCTAAGAGTTTGCGCTACACATCGTGTGCCTCTGTCCTGATGAAGGATGCAAAAGAAAAATACAAGACAAAAGAGATCAGGATATTTAGTTCACTGATTGGTAGGAAGTGGCTGTGTGGAGTTAGGTTTCCCTCTGCTGGAAAAAACAGCAAAGCTCAATAAGTAAGGACAATAGTCTAGTAAACCTTGTTTATTTCACCTTATATGGCGCTAGAGTTGATAGAAAAATGCTTTTGTGCCTTCAACCAGTGTTGAGTATGTGGGTTGCAGCCAAAACTTGCCAAGTTCTCTGCCGATGCCAAACAGCTTTTGGAGGTAGGGTGTGTGATGGTGCGGGGAGGCATCATCTTCACAGGTTAAATAAAGCTCAATATTATTCAAGAAAATCTCAATGCAGAAACTTGTCAGGAGAGGATCTTACAACCAGTGGCAACCCCATTTATACACTCTTAGCAACCTTGGGCATGATGTATAAGACAGTGACTCAAACAACCACATCAGCTGATTTAGGACAGGTTGTGGAATGGAATCCCGTCCCACAGCAGTGTGTGACCAAACTAGTGAACAGCAAGCTGTAAAAGTGGCTAACTGATTTGGCAAGTTTTTATGACAAAGTGTTTCAAAACCTATAAAGTAACCTCTGCCGACTAATAGGTCACCATTTCAAAAGATATAAACAGGCTTTCTAATAGTTTGCAATGTATTGCTATTGACAAATTGTTACAAGTAAATAATCGAGGTAAATAAAGACTTGTGAATTTGACTGACAGTTTAGTTCGCAACAACAGTAAATTAAATAGGGAAAATTGCATACATTGTTTCTTTTTTTAATCTATTTGTGAGATCTGTAATATGCTTTTACAAATAACAGTTTAATTTAATTTGATCACTACAGTGAATTTTAATACCCCACATTTGTTAAATTGTTGTCCTGACAGATCATGCAGAAAGGGAGAAGCTGCTAGTCTAACAACAAGATTCTGACTTGAAATTGCACTCATGGAAAAATATTTGGAGGTGGCATCATTACGTTTTTCATTATCTGGATGATGTATCTAGTGCTCTTTGCAAGATAAGTGACCTCGTGAAGCACAAACCGAAAAAATTGTTACATTGGAGCTTACAGACAACAAAATTAATCTATATAAATTTCTGTATTAGAATGCATTTCTAAAGAAACATATTTTACATTCACATTAGATAGATAGATAGATAGATAGATAGATAGATAGATAGATAGATAGATAGATAGATAGATAGATAGATAGATAGATAGATAGATAGATAGATAGATAGATAGATAGATAGATAGATAGATAGATAGATAGATAGATAGATAGATAGATAGATAGATAGATAGATAGATGGATAGATAGCCACCTGACGGAAGACAACGTCTATTATGTAACGATGTGTCGGTTGGATTTGCTCTTTAATTGTTGTCAAGTGAAAACAAAGAGGCACGTTTCACATTTTTCAAAATAAAGCTCTCACTCAACAGTGCAAGAAGGTTTTTTTTTTTTTGTTTAGCTCAGAGTGCGCTTCCTCTGCGGTGCTCCGCCGGCTTGACGCACCCTGGACCGTGCGTCTATGCGTCGCTGGTGGAGGAGGCGTTGGCGCATCGCACCACTGCCGCTTCTGCATCTGCTGCTGTTGCTGCTGCTGCTTACTCTCAAAACCGGCCGTCCTGTACAGAAAAGGGAACTGTCCTTTGCCAGGCTGCTGTGAAAGAAACCGCCTCGCTTAAAACAGAACCGACCCGCTGCGGCGAGGTGCGCGCTTCAATCCCCCGAAACGGAGAAAGCCTCAAAATGATCAAGAACGGTCACCACCACCACCACCTCCACCAAGTGAGCGCAGCTGCGGGGAAAGACGCAGGGACCACCCTGGCCGCGGCGACGTGCAGTCCGGAGAAGAGGAGGCGAAAGATCCGTGTGTGGTGCGACGGCTGGTGAGTTGCTGATTGGATGTGTTGATTGGTGTGATGAAGATCTCACCGCGCTGTTCCCAGCCTTTGGCTCTTGTTTGAATGGAGAAGTTGTCACATCGGGACAGGCCTGCTCCATGCAGGCTGCAGGAAGCTGCTTAACACCTTATCAGCTCAGCGCAGGCAAAACTTTAAACACAGTATTCTGCAGCAGATATCCTGGTCCTGCTTTCATTGGGATAGCCGCGTTTGTGTGTGTGTGTGTGTGTGTGTGTGGGTTATAATACAAACCAACTGACGTTTCACCTTTTTACATACAGTTGGCCTTTCCATCTTAGTAAACACGTTATGAGAATAAATTTATTATTTCCTGCTGTTATTGCCCATAACTGGGTGTTTTTGCTGATCATAAAGTGCTTATTAAGTCAAAATAACAATTTAATTTGTGAATAAATGAATAAACCTGCTTCACAATATGCAGGAGTTCTCTTGTAAAAGTACAAACATATATATTTTTTTAGGTGTTAATTATTATTTTATTGAGTGTGTACATTAAAGGTCAAGATCAGCACAGTGTCTACTCTTAATCTTCTAAGATTTTTTTATTGAACATTTTCAAAATAAAACATCAGATTTTCATGATGATTCCTTATATGTCTTTTGACATTATACAAACAGATTGCAGTTGCAATGTATTTAGTTCTTGCATAACACAGCACTTCTAAAATTAGTGTATTATACAGTTTCGTTTTAGTTTTCCAAATTGAAGCAAAGACCTAGGCATTAAGCAAAAATACATATTAGGCCTAATTTTAATTTCTACTTTTGCTTAAATTTTCAAAGTTAACCCAATTAAGGCAAAAGTGAAAAGAAAATGTTTATACATTAAACAAACATTCTTACAAATATCTGTATAGCATAATATGCTTATAATGGGTATTGTCAAAAGAAATCAGATTTTAAGTAAATGCTAGCTATTAGTTATATCGGAATATTTCTTGATTGGACAGGAGATAATTAAGACAAAGATTGGTCCATTTCAACATTTGGCTTTGTTTTTGGAGCTGATGATGAGTGTTTGTATCTATTGTTTTTTTTTATATATATATAACCAAGGTTGTCATCAAATTTCTTCAATTGCAATATGTCTCTTATGAAGTCCTCTTGTTTTCACACATCCAAATCAGCCGGTAAATTGTCAGGTTGCAACATCAACCATGACGTGGCTTCTCTTGGAATAGATACTGTTAAAAACTGGGAGTGACCTCAAACACACATCTAACCACACTAAGTATAATCTTGCATCAGGGCAAAACAGGATAATAAACAGTCACACACATCATTACATAAACACAACAGTGTTCTTTAATATCATAGCCTTATCACATTAGTTCATATCTGCCTTGGTTTTTAATGGTATACCAAAACGCTTAAACTGCATAATTCTCCAACACTCCAGATCTAATTACATCTTTGTTTATTCTACCTTTACTAAAGTAAGTGATATAATAAGAACAAATTCTTGTTTACAACAATAATAACCTGACACTGTGATTTGTTTATTGCTAAGCAACAAAACTTTGCTCAGCTGAAAATTCTTATAAATCATCCTGTTTATAGTCATAGATTTTTATATAAACCCCAGAACATCAAAAAAGAAACACTTTGTGAAGATGTTGGCTGAAACTGTTAAGAAAGCGTCATTAGTCCATGGAAACAAATTTGTCAGCTACATGGACTGAAAGGCCACTCAGCAGCAAAAAGCTATTGGTCCCAAAGCAACACAAAAAACCAAATTACAATTTGCAAATAAACACAGAGATCTGAATCTTTGGAGACATGTCTTGTGGTTTGAAACTTAAATCAACCTACATGGTCAGAATATAGACCAAGACTTTGCAAACTTGAGAAAATCATCCCAAATTTAAAGCATGATGATGCCAGCATCATGTTGTACAGATTTTTATTTTTTAATTTTTTGCTATCGAACAGACAGTTTTGACGCTAGGATTACAAACCTGATTCCGTTACTTTAGTTCTGTCAGGAGGAATGAGAAAAGTAAGGAAATGTAAACTTCTGAGTTTAAAGCATGCTTTGAAAAAATTTCACTCTTATTCTTCTGTTTAGCAAATAGAAATAAGTTTGGTAATCCTAAAACTGTTTCAGGTCCTTTTTTGACCTAAAAACAGAAAAACTGAAATCTCATTTAAAAATCAGACGGTAAGGACAAATGATTATGCCAATACAGATATCTGATTTCACCTGAAAGGGTTTGCTCCCTTTAGGTCACATCCTCTGTCATTACACAAATATATATCACATGGTTTCCTTTACTACATTAAATACTCAAGTTTCTACATCTTGGAAAATAGAATAAAACAAGGATATGGCCAAACTACTAAATTAATAACTAAGCCACTTGCCTTTTCTTTCTTAACAGGAGGATTTATTTTGAAGTGTTTTGCCAGGATGGAGAAAAGGCTGGTTTAACTTCACATACTAAAATAAAACTACAATGGACTGCAGCATTAAAACAACTCATCTGCATTAAAACCAACTCAATACTGATGCCAACTGAAACAGAAAACACATATTATGACATTGCTGTACCAGTCAAGACTATTTTTGACCTGATCTTATTCATTTTAACTTGTTTCCTTTTACACTTGCTTTAAAATTCAGCTGCTCGAAAGGCGACCTTGTTTGTTTAAGAACCATTTGAGTTCCTTTACCTTTATATTGACTTTAAAGAAAAGGCTAATTCAAAGCTGAAGAATGCTGAATCCTAGCAGCGACTGAACAGATGTTTTGAAAATCTGCGCATGAAGACCAGGATTATGGTGGCTTTCTCTTGCAGAATTCCTGCTGTTCCTCTGTGGCTGCACATCTACGCTTTGGCGGCATGTCGCGGAATATTTGGGATGCCGGAATATTAACCGGTGGGGTGAGCATGCAAAGAAAGCCAATGTCAACAGAGCTCATGTCATTAACCCCCCAGTGCACACCTGCAAAGGCCCCCAAGCAGATTGACTCCTTCCTGTATCGCTCTTACTTGTCCCTCATCCCTTCGTTGGCTGTTTGAAAGGGAATTTCCTAGGAAGTCGTAGTTTTTATTGTTCTTACTCACAATACGTGGCACATTCTGTTCCCATTAGTCAACCTGGTTAAAGGTCTGCTGTCAGAGAAGCATCATCAACCCAGAGTGCAAAGTCCAAATTCACAATCTGCCATGGTGCTGTGCACACGTAGGCCTGTAAAGACGCAGCCAATAAGCAGCGCTTTGCTTATTGATTCAAAGCCTGTTATCTTTGATTACTGGAGGTATCAGACTTTACTGACTAAAATCCTGCTGTTGTTGTTTGCTGCGCACGTCCAAATGGTCCCCCGCCATGTGCACATATGTCTGCAAAGCCTTTGCCCTCGAGAAGCTTAGGTGCCACTTGGGTGTCTGTTAACAGGCTTCTCTAATTAAAATTTCATCATCCCCACAGTGATACGCTCATGATGCTTCTCTGCTTAAAAGTACAGGGAGAAGAAGAGGGCCACTTGTTGGGCATGGTGCTGGAATAAACCCCACACACAGAAAGGTCTTATGTAACTCAGGGCCTTTCATTCAGTCACCTCCAAACTTCTTATTACATTCCTCTTGGCCCCCTCAGTCGCCTCAGAGCTCCTGAATCCCGTTCCAATGATTTGACAACAAATGGCGTGTTGCTCACTGTTACTCTTGGTAACAAGCTGATTTTTACCCAAAGTTATGATTTAAAACTCCATTTTAAGTGTTGTTGAAAAAAAGCAAAGCGAAGTCTGTTTGTTCAGAGCAGTCGGTGCAGCCGTCATCAGTACGAACAGGGTCTGGAAGCAGCACTAGGCTCTCTTACAGTCTGTGCTGCGTTTGTAATCTAATAGCAATAGTGTTGTTTTCCTATTGATGTTTCTGAGCAAGCTATTTATAGTGCAAATGTCCTGCTGTTGTGTTTTTTTTTTATGTCCACTGCACAAATCCTCACCCAGAGACAAGAGACAAAATGTATATCAGTGTGATGTAGGCTGAGAGCTTTAAAAAGCCTTTGAAGGGAGGCTAACACCCATCTGTTCTGTTTCTTTGTGAGATTACTGTGCTACACTCTCGGTCTCTTATCTGTCCTAATCTAATTAACTGGAGACACTATCATAGCTGTGGATAAAGAGGCAGAATGGAAGGAAGACAGTTCATCATACAGGTTTGGGTTTTGATACTCCTTCTAATCCAGCAGATTGTGCACATTATTAACTTGAGTCAAAATGTGAAAGTCGTGCATTCATCATAACTCCACAGTGATACATTTCAAAGGTTTCTTTCTTTCATTTTTGTGGTTTCCAGCTAATTAAGTTAAAAAAAAAAAATAATCAGGAAGCTGAACTGCCAGGAAGCTGAACTGTTCTACATTACTAATGATTCTTAGTAATCATTAGTAATGACATAACAAGATGTTATGTTGAGATAATGTTATGGTCTATGCAATAACATGCTGACAATGGCTGACAACCTCTGCACAAAATGTATCAGCTAAAGAGTATGTCTGTTAACAAGGCACTGTATCCAAGGTTTTACTGGAAAGTTGAGTGAGAAGAAAAAGTCAGAAAGAAAAAGGTGTCCAAGAGACACAATTGTACATTTAGGAGAACCTCTGGTCTTTTTTTTTCTTTTTTTTTTCTCCAAAAATTTTAAATGCCATATAATTCTGTCATGTCTAACTCCTTTCTTCTTGTGCTTTTCCACCTTAGCTATGACATGGTGCATTATGGCCACTCAAACCAGCTACGACAAGCCAAAGCGATGGGAGATTACCTCATTGTTGGAGTGCACACAGACAGTTAAGTCTTAAACAAATGAGACAGATGCTTAATTTAGCATAAAACTACATTGCTATACTGCTAAAGCATGAAGCCCTCCATTGTCGTGGCTGCTCAAGCGTGTTGGTCCAGAATGGGACAAACAGTTTGTCTGACTAAACCACATTGAGTCACCAAATGACACAAAATGAGTGATAAACCCAGCGTACAATTTGGTGCTGTTTCCTTGAAAGCCATTGAAATAGCTCAGGATTTTTGAATTGTGGTTCATCTGACTTTTAGACACATCAGTGTTATCTCTTATTTATGGCATATTTAACTCCATAGCCAATAAATAAGCAGAACAGTTACCCAAAGTTTTCATTAATTCCCATCGTGGTATTTGCAAAATTTGCCTCCCTTTCACAATTTCTTAACCTTTGTTTTAAGATTTCATCCTTTGGGTCATGGCCTTTGCTAGAGTAAGTAAGTAGGCAAATATTCTTGATGAGCTGTAAAGGTTCCATCATTCACCACCAACTGTTTAAACACCAGAAGAGAAGTATGTGTGACCCAGATTGCTGTTTATCTAGAAAAGTAGAAACTTATTCCACTTTTTTCACCTTTTTTGGTACAAAGTTCTGGTACTGACCATGCATCAATTTGTACCCACCTTGGGAATGTTTTGTATGTATTTTGACAATATAATGATTTATCTCAATTGTCTATCTGGCTTTATGAATCCAATAAATAATAACTATCAGGAAGAGTTACCTTGGTTTGATCAAGGCTAATTTCATCTGTCATATCTATTAGTCATCTGGACAAAAGGGGACGAGAGTTGCAATCAATACAAAATATGAAAGAAAATATTCTCATTCATCAATCATTAATAATACATGAGTTCATAAAATTGGATCAGGAGAGAATCAAATTGCTAAAAGAGGGAAGCATACAGGTGCAAATTAGTGAAGGAGCCTACCGACCCAGAGCCTAAGTAGGTCAAGAAATGAAATAGCTGACCAATATCAGCTTGACCAGCAACAGACTTGTGGGTTGTAACAAAGAGAATAATGGCAAAAAGGTCTAACATTCAGCACAATGTTTGTATCTAAAATGTCATATATTGCACTATTCTAAGTTTAATGATCACTATGGCACATTTTGTAGCAGCAGTAAGAATAATTGTTGCTCTGAATAAAAGATTCAGAGCAACAATTAAACTCTTTGTGGAAATACCAGGCATTTAAATGAATTGTTTTTTTACTTATCACATAATCTTTTAGCAGCCTACAGTCGGAAAAGTGCAATGTACTGTTATATTTAATGTATTAGAATATGTGCTCCATTGAGACTCATTTGTGAGATTTAAAGCACCTTTTGAAATAACCTTTAGGCGGGTACTTTTTATTAAACCCATGTTTCTATATGATTTTTTTATTGGTCTGATGTAATATGCCAGCCTAAAGGAGTTCTATTTTTTAATAATAGTAAGTGTGAAATCATAATTAACACAAATGAAGAATTTAAAACATCTATATAATGTGTTTAATTTGGTAAATTGAGTTACTGAAATAAATGAGCCTTTCAGTAATATTCTATTTTGTTGTAATCAGCTTTTTAAAACTGAGACTTCTGTTTCCACGTTCACTTAAGCCAGACGTATTGGCTCGTGTTTTTCTTAATTCTCTTGCTTTATTATTTGAAGGTGAGATTTCAAAGCACAAAGGTCCGCCAGTCTTCACTCAGGAAGAAAGGTACAAGATGGTACGGGCCATAAAGTGGGTGGATGAAGTGGTGGAAGGAGCCCCTTACGTCACGACCCTCGGGACGCTCGACAAGTACAGCTGCGACTTCTGTGTTCATGGAGGTACTCAACACTCTGTTCAGCTGTGTGGGACAGTGCTACAGTCCTGACTGTGTCCCTTTGTTCCAGATGATATAACACTAACTGTGGATGGAAAAGATACATATCAGGAGGTAAAGAAGTCAGGACGCTATAGGTGAGTTTCTGTTCCTGTCAGACGCAGAAGAAAGTCAGGGTGAGCTTCTCTGTGTGTTTCATTAACTTGCATGTTACACTGATTTGTTGCAGAGAGTGTAAGCGGACGCAGGGAGTTTCCACGACAGACCTTGTTGGCAGGATGCTTCTAATGACCAAAGCACACCACAGCAACATTGTGGGTTTTTACTAAATTCTTTTTTAAGGCCCTAACATAAGCAATTTTGCCAACTTTTTTGTTTTATTTTTTATGTTCAGGACAGCTCAGACTATCAGCAGCACACAGACAACTTTGGAAAGGTAATTTTTGTTTGCCATGCTCACCTTCTTCCTCGACTGTTTTGTGATACAAGCAGAAAGTAGTTGGCATTTGCACCAGATGTTAGCTGATATTAAATAAAGGGCTTTGTTTTAAACCCATTTAATAGGCCTTGCCAGCAAATTGTGAATAGCGCTTCTGTTCCTGAATGAGTGGAGTAACTAAGAGCCACAAAGCTTTTAGTCACAGGCAGTTAAGAGTCTCTTGACTGATAGAACAATGCTGGTCATTTGGCAAGTGATGAATAAATCCATTCAGAATTTGTTGCCCAGTTTTGCGCTAGTCTGTTACCTTCAATTTTACCGGTTGCTTTTACTGCTCTCCCCACGAGGGGGCAGTGATGCTGCATAGAGATTACCTCTCTGGAAAAGCAGATGCAATAAATCAGATTAAACATTTTAGTTTTAGATCAGTTAGACTTTGCGAATGTATTTATATTTGCTAAATGCCAGAATAAAGAGAGAGGGATTCATTAGAGAATTTTTCAGAATGCAAAATTTAATAGTTTATTGACATTTGTTGATAGTTGAAGTGCACCGGTCCATCATGTAGCAAAATACACCAGGACTTGATGCTACCAACACTATACTTCACAGCTTGGATGTTACTCTGTTCCAAATGGTACTTTTAATCTCTTAAGTAAGCCTCATTGGAATGCTTATTTTAGTTTATTGAATATGGCTGTGTATCAGAAGTTGGTCTGATTTAAATCTGCTCCATATTTTTCTTTTTTTTTCTTCTTTTTTACGCTAACATGTTCAGAAGGGCCACAGTCCCTGGACTGGAGTATCTCAGTTCCTACAGACTTCTCAGAAGATAATTCAGTTTGCTTCAGGCCAGGAGCCTCAGCCCGGAGACACCATCATCTACGTCGCAGGAGCCTTTGACCTCTTTCGTATCCTATTATAAATTACAATGAGTACTGCACATTTATCTTTTTATGCTGACTCTTTTAAGTCTCTAAAACACACGCAATATTTGTAAAATTGCACCTCCGACAATATAGTCTGAAATAACAGCACTGAATTAATACCAGATTAAAAAAAACACAAATCACACAACAAAAAACAAAAGAAAACAGCAACAGAAAAACCTTATAACTAAATTAAAAAGGAAAATAGAACATAAGGCTAATCAAATTGATAAAAGACGATTCAAGCCCAACAGAAAAAAAAAACACAAATAAAAACTGAACATAACATGCAAAACAATCCATGTCAGAATACATAAATATTCTGCTATATTTTACTGTTTTTGCTACATTTTTGCTTTGTTGTCAGTTAATATTAATAAAATGTGAGACCACAGTTCTGAACGTTGTCACTAAAACATTAGGTGCTTTTTTTGGAAGCCAATGATATCCTTGATGATACCTCTGCTAGACATTGGTCATGTGGACTTTCTGGAAGCGGTCCATAAGCTTGCTGAAAAGCCGTACATCATAGTGGGGCTGCACTTTGATCAGGTGACACTTTTTAAACCCGCCTTTTGTTTTAATCTAAATGATAATGCGGCTCGGTTGTGTTCTACTCGAAGACTCGCTAGCATGTCTGGCACATTTTTTTGTTTTTCAGGAGGTGAATCGTTATAAAGGAAAAAACTACCCCATCATGAATGTCCATGAGAGAACGCTCAGTGTGCTGGCTTGCAGAGTAGGACCTTCCGCTTTGTAATTCAGTAATTCCCTCTACATTAAATATATTGATGTATTTGTTGATTTTATGTGGTTTTACAGTATGTTTCGGAAGTGGTGATTGGTGCACCCTTCGCCGTCACAAAAGATCTGCTGGATCATTTTAAGGCAAGTGCAACAAAACCTCACTAAATTCTTGCTGTTCAGTCATTTATTCAAAAATTTTTGTGTCTTTGTGTGTTCAGGTGGATCTTGTTTGCCATGGTAAGACAGAAATCTACCCGGACAAGGATGGATCTGACCCTTACGCTGTAAGATTTAGTCACCTGTCACATTTCATCAGTCTGCAGTGATGGTTTCAGATATTTTTTATAATAATTGTTGCCTATTTTTCAGGAACCAAGAAAAAGAGGCATGCTCCGAACTGTAGACAGTGGGAACACTCTTACTTCAGATGCAATTGTGCAAAGGATAATAAAAAACAGGTGATAACTTTATCAGAGAGAAACTCTCTTTGATGGTTTCTCTCTGATGTCTTTTTTTTGTTGTTTTTAACATTTCACATATATATAAACGTTTGCTTTCCAATTTTCTCATTTTAGGATTCCAAATCTAATTTACATTAGTAAGCCAAATCCATTAAAAGATAGGTCTTGCACAAAATTTTGCCATTTATTTAGTATTAGTTGTTTCATTAATTATCATTGCTAATTACAGATCATTATGAGGCTAATCTGTCATGTTTAAATCTCCAAGAACAAACTGCACATCATATTTTTTAGCAGAATTGCATCCAAGGGGTGTATCGATTTATTCTCTTCTTTATTTGGTTGCTTGTGCTTCCTTTTGTTTAATTAGGCTTCTATTTGAGGCAAGGAACAAGAAGAAAGAAGCCAAAGAGATTGCTGTGATTCAGGCTATGAAGCGACAAGAAGAGGAAAAGACTAAAGAAAGATCCCAAGCTGTGCTGTAGACATGCACCGCCATTTGTGTTTTTGACCTAGCATTAGCAAGCTACATAAATATAAACGTCTGTATAGCAAAGTCAACTCTTCGTAAGTGTTATAGCATCTCTGGATAATAGCAGTTTTACAGATAACAATCCTGCTGTGGGATCATTAGCTGTTTGTAAGCAGTAAGATCAATCATAAGCTGGAACAAGGAACATGTACTGTACCTGTATCTTCAAAAGTCTAATATATACATTTGGATATTTTAAACTTTTATAATTTTATTGCCTTTTAACAAGGAAAAAATGCTGATGTTATTTTTGGCTTTTAGCACAAGAAGAGTGCAGGTTGGTGAAGTGGTACAAACATTTATTTATCTAACCAGAGGTGGAAATCTTCCCTGGGCTGTTGCTGCTTTTTGCACAGCAATACTCCTAATACCAACTAATCATCATCTGTATATATTGCATCAAAATCCATAAGGATTTTTAAATTACAATGGAAATCAGAGGACAGATACCCTTGTGCTGCTTTTCAGTTAATCCATTTAAATATTATGAGGTGATTTCTCAAATCACCTCACATGTGATTTGGGAAATCACTTCCCATGATTTCCCAAAAAATTATGGGAAATATTCTGTTTTAATAACAGAGTTGTTGTTTTTTAATCACAAATGCACATTGTTGAGACCTGACGGTCCTGCCTTTTGCGTGCATTTTTTAAAATATAACCACTGATAAACTGTCTGATTTAACATTGGTTTTCATTGCATGAGTGGAAATTAATGACATCGTGTTGTCTTGAAGACAAAGTTGAGTTCATACTTCTCCTAAATCATGTGGATATGAAATGGGGTCAAATAATACACTTTTCGTAGAAGCATATTTTTCTCCACTCCATTAGCTGCTGTAAACATAGTAGCATAATGTTTTAAAAGCATAATGCATATTATTGTCAAACTGAAATGTAGATAGTGTTGCCTATTATCTATATGTTATTGATCAATCCCAAAGGACATACTGTATGATATAAAGTTGATTGGATTTACAGTATATTATTGCTAATAAAAAATAAATTCTGAAGGATGGTTTCAATTTTTTCATTCTTATCAATATTAAATTTATAAGGACAAATATGTTATATATGTATCTCTCTCTCTCTCTCTCTCTCTCTATATATATATATATATATATATATATATATATATATATTATATATAGACTGATAGCTCAATACATAAGGCATCAGTATATCACCCGAGAGGGCAGGGTTCGAATCCAGTCTGGGTCCTTAGGCAAGACCCTTCAAGCTACTGCCTACCTCATATCATGAGAGATACTAAGTTGCATAACATGCCGGCTCAGACGTCGCCCGGCCAAACAAGGTCTGCGTCAGGTTGGGGAACCAGAGCACCTTGATGACAAATGGGCTACTGGAACAAGACGGAAATGGGCGAGAGATGAAAATGTGGATCTGTTGGAATGCTACTACTCAAGTAACCCTAGTGAGAGAGGTTACATGCAAAGACTGGGGAAGGAATGGTTACTTCGACATCCCCAGTCAACACTAAGCGCTAAACAACTAGTAGCTCAGTGTTCCAACATCCGCAAACGGCAACTGCTATCACAACTTGAGATTGACGAGATACAACACAAATGCTACGGCAAAAGGGAGGAACCCGGATGTCAGGACTGTGGGGACTTAACTACAAGTCCCCACCCAGTGAGGGGATACACGGCCCCAATGAGCGAAACAGAGCTGAACGAGACAGCTGCTGACCTGAGAGAGAGAATCATGACCCGAATGACAACCAGGCCTCCCGGCGCCAATTACAACGGCTGAGTGAAGTACCATCAGAAAGTCTCATTGAGAATGTGAATGCAGCATTGAGAACGATCCCTACCAACACCATAACAGAAACCAACTCAGCATCAGTGATCCTTGAGATACTTGGCTATAAGAGCAACCATGAGACCCAATACCCCCCATGGAAAAGACGGTTAGAGGCTAAAATCAAGGTAACAAGGAGGGAAGTGAGCCAACTGTCAGAGCTCCACAAGGGTACAATGAAAAGACCAGTACCCAGAAAGTACAGCCAGATGCCCATACCTGAAGCACTCGAGACTGCCAAACAGAGGCTCCAAGCCTTGGCCAGCCGCCTAAAGAGATACACAAGGGAGAATGAATCCAGAAGGATTAACCGGCTCTTCTCCACTCAACCAGCAAGGTGTACTCTCAATGGCAGGGTAATAACAACAGAGCAGACCCACCAAGGCTGGAGACTGAACAATACTGGAAAGGCATATGGGAAAGGGAGGCGTCCCACAACAGCAATGCACAGTGGCTGATCTCTACGAGAGGACCACAGCAACCTCCCTGAGCAAGCCCCGGTAAACCATCACTGTGACAGATGTTCAAGAAAGAGTCTCAGGTATGAAAAACTGGACAGCACCAGGGCCTGACATGATCCATGCCTACTGGCTAAAGAAACTCACTGCTCTCCATGAGCGACTGGCAGGCCAAATGAACCAGCTGCTACAAAGTGGGACTCACCCTGAATGGTTAACTGAAGGGCGGACAATCCTAATCCAGAAGGATCCATCAAAGGTCCAGTCCCACCCAACTACCGACCAATAACCTGCCTCTCCACAACCTGGAAGCTCATGTCAGGCATCATAGCGGCCCAAGATAAGCAAACACATGGATAAACACATGAGCACGGCACAGAAGGGTATCGGTGTAAATACCAGAGGAGCCAAACACCAACTCCTCGTAGACCGCACAGTTGCCCGAGACTGCAAAACCCGACACACCAACCTGTGCATGGCTTGGATCGATTACAAGAAAGCCTATGACTCAATGCCGCATACTTGGATTATTGAATGCCTAGAGATGTATAACATCAACAGGATTCTGAGAGCCTTCATTGCAAACTCGATGAGGCTGTGGAAAACCACCCTTGAAGCCAACTGCAAACCACTTGCACAAGTGTCCATCAAATGTGGCATATACCAAGGAGATGCTCTGTCCCCGCTACTGTTCTGCATAGGCCTGAACCCCTCAGCCAAATTATCAACAAGACTGGCTACGGATACCGACTCAAAAATGGGGCCAACATCAGTCACCTCCTCTACATGGATGACATCAAGCTGTATGCCAAGAGTGAGCGAGACATCGACTCACTGATCCACACCACCAGGATCTACAGCACTGACATTGGAATGTCATTCGGACTAGAGAAATGTGGTCGGCTGATCACAAAGAGGGGGAAGGTGATCCACACAGAAGGAGTCTCACTCCACAAGGAACAATAGCAGACATAGAGGACAGTTACAACCTAGGTATACCACAAGCAAATGGCAACCTCGATGAGACCACAAGGAAAGGAGCCACAGCTAAATACCTCCAACGACTAAGCAAGTCCTGAGAAGCCAGCTCAATGGCAAGAACAAAATCCGTGCAATAAACAGCTATGCCCTGCCAGTAATCAGATACCCTGCTGGAATAATCAGCTGGCCAAAGGAGGAGATAAAAGCCACAGATATTAAGACTAGAAAGCTACTAACCATGCATGGAGGGTTCCATCCCAAATCCAGCACCCTGAGACTGTACACGAGCCGCAAGGACGGAGGCAGAGGACTAGTGAGTGTGAGAACCACTGTCCAGGACGAAACAACTAAGATCCATAAATACATCAGGGACAAAGCCTCAACAGACAATGTGCTCAGTGAATGTCTCAGACAACAGGGAACGGAGGTTGAGGTGCCAGAGATACCATCATGGGAGGACAAGCCCCTACATGGGATGTACCACCAGCAAATAACCCAAGTGGCTGATATCAGTAAATCCTACCAATGGCTGGAAAAGCTGGACAAGGACAGCACAGAGGCCCTCATCCTGGCCGCCCAGGAACAGGCCCTAAACACCAGAGCAATAGAGGCCCAGATCTACCACACCAGACAAGACCCAAGGTGTAGGTTGTGCAAGGAGGCCCCTGAGACAGTCCAGCACATCACAGCAGGGTGCAAGATACTGGCAGGGAAAGCGTACATGGAGCGACATAACCAAGTGCAGGCATAGTGTACAGAAACATCTGTGCAGAATATGGACTGGAAACCCCGAGATCAAAGTGGGAAACCCCCAAAGGTGGTGGAGAACGCACGCCAAGCTAAGATCCAGACTTCCAGATCCAGACAGACAGAATGGTAATGGCGAACCAACCTGACATTGTCGTAGTGGATAAACATCAGAGGAAAGCCGTTGTGGTAGCTGTAGCAATACCAAGTGATTGCAACATCAGGAAAAAGGAGCACGAGAAACTGGAGAAATACCAGGGCCTCAGGGAAGAACTGGAGAGGGCCTGGAAGGTGAAGACCACAGTGGTGCCTGTGGTCATCGGGGCCCTCGGGGCAGTAACCCCAAACTGGAGCAGTGGCTACAACAGATCCCAGGAACAACATCAGACATCTCAGTCCAGAAATGTGCAGTCCTTGGCACAGCCAAGATACTGCGCAGAACCCTCAAGCTCCCAGGCCTCTGGTAGAGGACCCGAGCTCAGAGGATAAGAACCACCCGCGGTGGGTGAGAAGCGAATTTTTTTTTTTTTATAAAAAAAAAAAAAATTCTCTTTTTTTTTTTTTTTATAAAAAAAAAAAAAAAGCTAATATTCCAGCAGGGTATCTGATTACTGGCAGGGCATAGCTGTTTATCGCACGGATTTGTTCTTGCCATTGAGCTGGCTTCTCAGGACTTGCCTTATTCGTTGGAGGTATTTAGCTGTGGCTCCTTTCCTTGTGGCCTCATCGAGGTTGCCATTTGCTTGTGGTATACCTAGGTACTTGTAACTGTCCTCTATGTCTGCTATTGTTCCTTGTGGGAGTGAGACTCCTTCTGTGCGGATCACCTTCCCCCTCTTTGTGATCAGCCGACCACACTTCTCTAGTCCGAATGACATCCCAATGTCAGTGCTGTAGATCCTGGTGGTGTGGATCAGTGAGTCGATGTCTCGCTCACTCTTGGCATACAGCTTGATGTCATCCATGTAGAGGAGGTGACTGATGTTGGCCCCATTTTTGAGTCGGTATCCGTAGCCAGTCTTGTTGATAATTTGGCTGAGGGGGTTCAGGCCTATGCAGAACAGTAGCGGGGACGAGCATCTCCTTGGTATATGCCACATTTGATGGACACTTGTGCAAGTGGTTTGCAGTTGGCTTCAAGGGTGGTTTTCCACAGCCTCATCGAGTTTGCAATGAAGGCTCTCAGAATCCTGTTGATGTTATACATCTCTAGGCATTCAATAATCCAAGTATGCGGCATTGAGTCATAGGCTTTCTTGTAATCGATCCAAGCCATGCACAGGTTGGTGTGTCGGGTTTTGCAGTCTCGGGCAACTGTGCGGTCTACGAGGAGTTGGTGTTTGGCTCCTCTGGTATTTACACCGATACCCTTCTGTGCCGTGCTCATGTGTTTACCATGTGTTTGCTTATCTTGGCCGCTATGATGCCTGACATGAGCTTCCAGGTTGTGGAGAGGCAGTTATTGGTCGGTAGTTGGGGGACTGGACCCTTTGATGGATCCTTCTGGATTAGGATTGTCCGCCCTTCAGTTAACCATTCAGGGTGAGTCCCACTTTGTAGCAGCTGGTTCATTTGGCCTGCCAGTCGCTCATGGAGAGCAGTGAGTTTCTTTAGCAGTAGGCATGGATCATGTCAGGCCCTGGTGCTGTCCAGTTTTTCATACCTGAGACTCTTTCTTGAACATCTGTCACAGTGATGGTTACCGGGGCTTGCTCAGGGAGGTTGCTGTGGTCCTCTCGTAGAGAGATCAGCCACTGTGCATTGCTGTTGTGGGACGCCTCCCTTTCCCATATGCCTTTCCAGTATTGTTCAGTCTCCAGCCTTGGTGGGTCTGCTCTGTTGTTATTACCCTGCCATTGAGAGTACACCTTAGCTGGTTGAGTGGAGAAGAGCCGGTTAATCCTTCTGGATTCATTCTCCCTTGTGTATCTCTTTAGGCGGCTGGCCAAGGCTTGGAGCCTCTGTTTGGCAGTTTCAAGTGCTTCAGGTATGGGCATCTGCCTGTA